CCCCAAAACCCCAAAACCCCAAAACCCCATGAGTATTTTATTTTTAAGTTGAGAAGTATAAAACTTGTTATGAAATAAACTTTAGTATGAGAATAGCCTCTGAAGTAATTGCGTAATATTTGAAATATCAATTACACATATATATAAATCAAAATGAAAATGCACTTTAATTTAAAACCACAGTGGAGTAAGCTGATAGCTGTTTGCTTGATTTTTTAAGCTATCAACTGCCTCGAATTCCGTTCTTTTAGTACGCAAACGAACTATGCCAATTGCAAAACTTTCTCTACTAGTGCAATTTCAAGTAAGATCTATTCTCTCAATAGATTACCAATTCAATTTTAGTTATCTATTGCGATCAGAAGTATTATTGGCTGTCAAATTTAGATCCACTAAATACAATCTATGACTCTGGAGATCTTGATTAAATTAATTCTACTAGTGCTTCAACATCAGCTAATCAAATTTAGTACTCATATTCGCGTTTCTTAACAAAGACTCTGCAAGTTGATTCTATAGGAAATCCAACCTTTGCTTAGGATCCTCTATTTTAGGCTAATGATATAGTGAATAGAACGATTGCATCTGCCTCCGTCATCATAGAAGATTTCCTATTTATCAACAATCAATATGGAGTTATTAAACTCAACAATAATTCATTCATTCCTTTTATGGTTGTCACATCTACAACAAATAAATACTTTGCAAGAAAAGATGTAGCTACCCTCAGAACTTGGACTTTTGATTAGAATAATCAGTATTTAACATTCGGAAACGGCACTGAGATTATTAGGTCAACGCTGAATGTTACCAAAAATGCATAAGGAACAATTACAAATATCACATTTATCGACCAAGTGCTTTACAGAAGATTAAATCACACAAGTTTCTCCTTCTAGGGAACATATCTTGTTGTGAGTTGCTCAACATGCGACAATAATGTTGGTAGGATACAGATTTACAATTACCTCTAGCCTTTAGCACCGAATGCTACAAATACAACGACTACTACTACACTAAATAATATGACATTATTCCTTGAGATTAATAAAACCTCAAACAGCACGTATTTCAATATAGGAGAAAAGACCTATTTTGAGGTAATAAATAAATTCCTATCCAGATTGATATTCACTGCTCGACCAAATATTATAACTACTACTCCTAGGAATCTCTATTAGATTGATATACTCCAAAATAATTCCCGATTGCTATTTAGAAATCAAACCATATATAGTTAAATGCAGAACTATACCTTTAACACATTAAGTTATTCAAGGGGATTTTTGCTAGATTTAGAAAATCAAACTTACATTGTCAATACCACAAATCCTACAACTAATGTAACTACATCACGCCAGCAATGGCAAACTAATTCTAGGTTCACTTAATAATGCCTACTAAATTAGTATTATGATAACTATAAATGTAATCAGTGTGGAAGTAATCAAGGTGTCTATGACTTTTAGATGAGATAATGCGAATCCTGTTATGACATGGTCAAATAAAATGATACTTTTGCAAGTGCAATGGCCTTTTAATTCTGTACTAATCCATTTGATCAGGGTGACAATAATAAGCCAAATGATACAGATCCAGTTCCAGTAGATCCCGAACCTGTTAAAAACGATACTAACCCTGATCCTCCTCCTGTTGTCAAAGATAAAGAATCTAGCTCTGACACTAATATAGGTTTAATAGTGGGAATTGTTGTTGGAGTTATAGTCATAATCATAATAATTGTAGTCGTTGTATTATGTTGTCGCAAATATAAAAAGTAGAAAGAAGAGGATGAAGAAAAAGGAGTTGCTTCAAAAGCAAGTAGCAAGGCAAAGCCCAAATAGCAAGCATAAAAACCCTCAAATTCTAGAAAAGATGCATATATTGATAAAAACCCAACCACCGATTAAGACTTGAATAAAAATCTTAAGGGTGCAGTTGAAGATGATTCAGACTCATCTCGACCAAATTTAAATAAGGTAACCCATCCAGAGTTCTAGGCTAGTAGTCCAGACAATATTGAAATCAAGTTAGATGATGATAGAGTGAAAACTGGAATCAAAGGATCTGACGAGGAAAATAGGCCACTCTCATCTAAAAATCAAAAGCCATTAGCTGATGGTCCTCCAGCATCCTAAAGACCTTTCGCCTAATTAGGTATAAACTCAAAGGCTCAGCCTCAGAATGGTAAAGAATCTGCTAGAAATCGATTATAAATCAGAGGGGATGCATAGTATTCAGGAGTAGAGCCTCAAGCTAATGACACATCATTTTCTAGTGATTATGATGACAGGACTTAGCAATCTCCAGAATCATTTGCTGGAATGGGTGCTTAGAAAAATGGAGCTAGATTTTCCTATTCAAGCAATTCAAATATTTCAAGATTAGAAGGAGGGTAGAGAAAAATTTCAAATAATGTTTAGGTAAAGAAACAGAAAGAAGATTCAGTCTAGGATGAATAGAGCGATGAAGATATTAGAGTCGCAAAGCCTTCAGAGAGAAATCTAGTGAATGACAAATTTGGAAATATAACCAAATCCTCTGGGTAGACTGGAGCATAATTGAATGGAATCGGTATTAGAAATGGATCTTAAGTTACTGGAGCTAATATCGTTTAAAACCAACCTGCTGGAAATAGGAGTAATATTCCCAACAATAACAATATTGGTCGCTAAGATATCAAATCTAATGGGGATAAAAAGAACTAGGTCCAAAGGCAAGACTCATCAGTTAGAGGATCTGAAAACAGCATCTCAGATGATGATGAATGAAACTTATCAAAGTGAATAATACTTTAAAGGCAAATTTAATGAGTGAGTTCCTTAATATACTACTTAACTTATCATTTATTAAAAGTGTATAGAGCTCATCGGTAAACTTAGTTTATAATTCTTTAATTTTAATTATTTTTTTAATAACTTTCCTAAAATCTAGAATATAGGGGTTTTGGGGTTTTGGGGTTTTGGGGTTTTGGGG